CCCGGCCCCATTCAGGATTACGGCTGGGCCGGACGGGGTCTGCACCAGACCGGGTCCGTCCGCCCCCAGGGTTTTTTATAGAGGTTGCCTTCCTCGTAGCCCTCGAAGAGCCGTCATTCCTGACTGTTGCCAGTCAGGGTTACGACATGGCCGGACGGTGGTCTGCGTCAGACCAGTGTCCACCACCTCTGGACAGAGCCAGCGGCAGTGGACCCGTCCGCCCCCAGCCCGCTCTCCCCCTATGCCCTCTGCCAAACAGAGGGACATGCGGAAAGCAGCCCTCCGAACAGCCCTTGACGGGCCGTTCCCACCTCGGCCGGAATTGGCCGCAGGCGGCAGCGCCTCTCCCACCTAGGGAGAGAGGCGCTGCCGTCTCCGTTGCCCAGGGTGCACCACAAGGAGGTTCCGGACCACGCACCCCATGAATAAGATACCTGGGGATAACAAGTCCATTTAAAATCCTTTATTTTCAAAATAGGACAAAAGCGTTTGAAAGGCAAATCCAGTAAACGTTAATTCTTTTGAGTAATCAATGAACTGAAGCTCAGTTAAACCAATAAACGAAAATGAATGAAAATCGGTAGATAATTTCAGTAAAATTCTTAATTCCTAAGCCTTCGACTGTACTTATTACAAGTCTAAATTGCTCAAAAGCAGATCTTTCAAAGTCTATTGAAAATTATCAGCATATTGCGTCCCTTCTATATCCTGTTAGTTCATGAACTTATCTGTGTTATGCTATAGCTATTATTGCATAACATACTATAGCTAGTTAACATTATGGTTTAAATTTACTTTAACTAATTTTCGATGCAGTAAAAATTTTTTTTGAGAATATCTGATCAGAAAAGTCCATCAACTTTTCTTCTGTCTCATATTAGAACTGGAACATTCTATATAGCTGTTTTTTTTTTACTTCGAGATCAGCCACCGCATTATTTAAAGATTTTGCAGTTTTAGACCGACTACACAATTTTGCAGCAGCAACCGACGGTAGCGCACGACAGCCACCGGCAAGGGTGAGAATGGGACATGGTGGCGTGTCAGAGCCGAGTGTCAATACCTTGTATTGCTCGAAGTGGAATCGAATAGTGGCCCCTGCTCTAACTCCTGGGTGCACCCGGCAACGAGAATGCCTCGACACTCTACTAAATGTATGAAAAACGTATTAACTATTTGTCGCCGGTAATTGGTGGCCCGTTTGCGCTGAACCTTAGAATTCGTTTCGAAAATAATGGATTAAGTCTCTCCACAGACAATAGGAGCATGTACTTGTGTGGTCAATTTCATTACATCTGATGTGTTTAAACTCCAAATTCTCTCTAAACAAAAAGTACTTTAATTTCTGTAAATAAAAGCTTTTGTGTTGATCAAAACTTTACCACAAACGTTTCAAAGCTTTTTCAATTTAAATTTTTACCAAAGCCATCAGACAGGTATGATAAACTTTTAATTAAAGCTCAGCGGATATTAATTACTGAATGATTGATATTCAATATTTACTAATATATTTATAGTGTGCGTGTGTTCATATTTCTTTATCTACTGAACGGTTTGAGAATTTTTCTGCTCATTTTTTTTAAGTTTTCAGTTAACCTTAATGTTTTTTGTTCGAAGTTAGTAGGATTGGACTGTTGTCAATCCTGGTTTATTTCTGTATTTTTTAATTCAAATCGAACATTAATATTTGCCCCATCCCATCGTCCTTTTATTACACGGAATTAGTGAAACCTTTAATTTCTGATAAATACTAAGAAATACTCAACACCATACCTTTACCATACCACCTTATTTATTACCATACCTTTTCACACACAATACTTGTGCTCCGAATTTATTCACAATTTAAATATATAATATGACGCAAAAGGCGCTTGAAAACCTCATACGCGAGTTACATAAAACAATATCCGTGCTTGTGATTAAAGTTGGTGAACTTGAAACAAAAATAAGTGAGCAAAATGTAATTATCTCTCAACTAAAATCAGTTACACCTAACCATCAAGTACCTTCAATTGGTGAAACGGCATTTATTACCCTCACAAACGCCGACACTGAAGTTGTTGATACCGAGCCCTTACAGCGCTTAACGCGCCCAGCTCGTCTAAAAGCCGTTGAAGCCATCAGCGGTAAAGCAACGAAGAAACAAAAACCGTCGAGCGCTGTTGAAGCTAGAAAGACTCGTGCGCACAACGAAGACGAACCGAAGACACCCGACGGCGCCCGAGAGTTACCCGTTGCAATGACGACGTGTGGGGCCATGAAATCGACCTACGCAGATGTGGCGAACGTTACATCTGAGTATTCTTCAGTCGTGATTCATAAATCGGATGAAGGGATAGATAATGGAATCGAACGCGGTACAGCATGGACACAACCTCGTCGTTTCCGTCGTTCTGTAATAAGAGCGACAGGTGAAGCAGACACCGAATTACTGACTATTGAACCAGCAAAATTTGTTCATGTATGGAATTTCCACCCAGATGTGACCGCAGAAAAGATCTCAATATATCTTAAAAAGAAACAACCAGACTCAGATTTTACAATCAAAAAACCAGACCCTACCCACGAAAACCACAACTGTTTTATAATAGGAGGATATGGTGAATATTTCAAGTTTCTAATGTGTCCGGGTAACTGGCCAGCGGGAACATCGATTCAGCAATGGTACACTTCACGAAATCGTACAAAAAATGTTAGTCATTCCTTTCGAACCCAAAATCAAAGAGAAGCCTAAAACGTTAATAAGCAAAATATACTACCAAAACGTTCGGGGTTTAAAAAGTAGAACGGATGAAATAAAGGCTGCGCTAAGCGAACTTCCTGGCCACACATTGGCACTCACAGAAACAAACTTAGACGACAGCGTTTATGATTCCGAGTTGTTCACGCCTGATTACTCTGTTTTGCGCTGCGATCGACAAGGCGATAGGGGAGGTGGAGTGCTACTAGCAGTGCGCCAGCCATACCAACTGCGCAAGGTGAGCTTGGACTGCTCACCGGAGGATGAACTTGTCGCCGGCCAAATAAGTCTTGGCAAATATCGTTGTATTTGTTGTGTTGTATATCTACCACCGAAAATACCAAACGCAAGATACTACTCTATTTTTAACTGTATAGAAACTTTGATATCAATGCAAACAACACCAGTAATAGTAGTAGGGGACTTTAATCTGTACTCGGCCCCACAGTCAGTGCGCGAGGATTATAAATTATTCTTATCTATATGTAAACTCACTCAACATAACACCATCAACAATGGTCTCAACCGAGTACTTGACTTAGTTTTAAGTTGTGCGGATCATGTAGCGCCCACTGTTTCGGTATCCAAGGTGAGTCTTGTTGAATCAGAAATTCACCACCTTCCATTACAAATTACAGTGAATATAAATAGATTTTACCTACCTACCCGCACGTCTCGAACCCAAGATATAAACAAAGAAAATCCTATACGTTTCCGTAACTTTAGAAAAGCAAATTATTGCGAACTTTACTCACAATTATCTCTCATTGATTGGTCGCCGATATATAAGACACAGGACCCTAATCAAGCCGTGTCTTACTTGTACGATAAAATAAATAATACCTTTGAGAAGTTTGTCCCTTACACTAAACCATCAAATACACCTAATAAATATCCTGAATGGTACAATCGCGAATTACTATATTATTTACATTTAAAAAACTTCTTCCACAAAACATACAAAATGTCGAATAAAAATCAATTATATTATGCGTTTTTTAGTTATTATCGAAAACAATTTAAATCTTTACTAGAAAAAAACAAATATACCCACTTTAAAAAAATTGAAAATAGTATTATATATAACCCAAATACTTTTTGGTCATTTATTAAACAGACTAGGAAGTCAAATGAACCTTCAACATTCGGCATGTTAAACTCGCAACAAGTGGCTGATGCTTTTGCCGCGTTCTTCAGCAGTGTGTTTTTGTCCAGTGCGCCCGTACTGGACCCGCGCTCTGCGATGACAGCCGCCCTAAACTTACATCATGCATGTACCGGACCTGATGTTCACGTTCAAGTAGACTACATAGAAAAACGTGACGTATTAAACGCTCTAAAAAAAACTGCGACCCAAATTCACCCAGGGTCCCGATGGGGTACCTCAGATAATTGTTCGCGACTGCTATGCAGTTTTCGCGAATCCACTTCTACATATATTTAACTTATGTCTCAAACATCATATCTATCCTTCTGTATGGAAAACAACCAAAGTTCTACCCATACACAAGAGTGGCTCCATGGGTGATGTACACAATTATCGTGCAGTAGCAGTTTTTATCGGTCTTCGGTAAAGTAATGGAATCGATATTATACAATCTCATATACAATCAGCTACGAGGATGGTTCTGTGACCAACAGCACGGTTTTTTGCCGGGCCGATCGACCACATCAAACCTCTTACATATTACAATGATGATTTCAAATGAAATTGATGCGAGGAAACAGGTGGACGTGGCGTATTTTGATTTTCAAAAGGCATTTGATCAGATAAATAATGATGTGCTGCTTACAAGATGGCGAACATAGGTTTTTCGGAAAATCTCATATGTTTCTTCTCAAACTACTTTTCAAATCGAAAACAGTATGTTTTATACAGCAATTCTAAATCTGAAGAATATAGCATCTACTCGGGTATAGGTCAAGGCAGCTGTCTTGGCCCATTATTATTCTTAATAATAATAAATGATTTACCATCTAAAGTTCAAAATAGTACCTGCTTGATGTTCGCCGATGACGTTAAATTAGCGCGGCCGATTGCCACCACCTCTGACTGCGCTCTGTTACAGGCCGATATTGATACTGTCTGTAATTGGGGCCGCCTAAACAGTTTAAACCTTAACATTAACAAGTGTGTTGTGGTGTCATATGGTCGGGCCCGTTCTCTAATTCACGAGAATTACACAATATCGCAAACCGTCTTGCGACGAGCGACGACAGTGAAGGATTTGGGTACTTGGTTCGATACTCAAATGACATTTCGCGACCATTTTGATAAAATGTGTAAAAAGGCTCGGAAAAGTCTCGGATTTGTTCTAAGACAATCCAATCGCTTTAACAGCAAACTAACACTGAGTGTCTTATTTAATGCGTATGTTCGAAGTACCTTGGAGACGAATGCTTTAGTGTGGAATCCATATCAGGCCCAACATGTACTGCAGGTGGAGAAGGTGCAGAAGTCTTTCGTTAGATACCTATTTAAACGATTGTATTATTATTATCCATATTTGTACCCCACATTATATGTTATAGGGATGGTCGACTATCGTATGTTGGCGGTACGTCGTAACCTAGCTCTGGTAGCATATGTCTTCCGCTTAATACGTGGTTTTTACATATAATCCATCATTGCTGGCGCAGGTAGATTTCCACGTGCCGCGCCGCGGCGCGTCTACGGTGCGCGAACCCCGACAACACCTGTTTGCAGTGCCGCTGGCGCGCACTAACCTGTGTCGGTATGCACCTCTGTCACGAGCACTAAGGTATGTTAATGAAATCGTGTCATTTAGCCCATCAATAGATTTATTCTTATGCAGCGAGGGAGCGTTTCTCAAGGCAGCAGGGTGTTGCATGGAGACGTTGACAGTTGCCAGTACTGTACAGATTAATTAATGGATATCCTAACAGTGACTTGGTGCACATGATGTTATTCTTTATTATTGATGTCATTCTTTATTATTAATGTTATCTTCTCGTTTGATATTGTGTACGGGTTTTGTTTTACCAAATTTTGTCATTTATTTTGTGTTGAATTTATTAGGTTTGTGTCCGAATATTTACTGTTTTTTACAATTTTATACTATGCTGATGAATTGTTATTGCAATGTTACCTACTTTCTGTTTTACGACTTGAATGCTTTTTATTTTACAATGTAATGATACTGTAAGTCCATAATCACTTTCTGCGCATGGATTGTTCTGTTAGCATTAAGGTGTCTGTAAATAATAATAAATAATAATAATAAATAAATAAACTTTATGTCCGAATTCTCAGTCTTATGTCTTTATGTCCGAAGTGATTGGAAGAAGTGTTTTAAACGCATACATTATGCCAACTATTACATACAACTAATTTTATAACATTATACATTATAACATTATACAACTAATTTTAGTCCCACGTACGTCATATAGGGCTAGCCTATTTCAGTTAACCGGATACTTTACGAAGTAGATAGGAGACTAGGAGTTCTATATGAAAGGAAAAGCATTAAAAATTAGTTATAGGTATGTAAGCAATAGTTCGAGCCAGTCGCATACCTATAACTCAAACCGGCTGCTGCCAGGAAGTTCAAGCCCTCTAATCATATTTACATCTCATCAATCATCAACAGCCTATAACAGTCCACTACTGGACACAGGCTTCTACTCAGAAATGAGGTTTTAGCCTACTATACCACGCTGGCCATACGGGTTGGTATAGGGTTTGTGTCAAACTATCCTTCTCTTTGCAATGCTGTCAGTTGTCTGGCATAGTTTGCTCCCTTAGTCGCCTCTTACGATACCCATGGGATGAATAGAGGTTATGACCATCCCTAATCTTAATCCGTCACCACACGCACTAATACCTATAACCATACAACATATTTAATTTCTGATATTTATCTAGTATGAAATTCATAAGGAATGATGATATACTCGACTGTTCTACCACGACAACAAGGAAGGTCTATAGTTGATTGCCACTTTGGTATAACGTTGAATGTATATATAAACCTACTCATGGGGAAATCATGTAAGAAATAATAGAACTTTGTCCATAAAAGTAAAAAACAAAGACATTTTTGAAAAATTAAAAAAATTGAAAAAAATTTGAAAAATTAAATCAGTTTTCATGAAGGTCGATTTTTTTTACTATTAATAATAATGGATCTAAAATATAATATCTGTATGGTTTTTATTTCTTGTTTTTTTTTCTTGTTTAAAAGACACCTCCCGCACTAGGAATAAATCCTGTGTCGCGGGGGACTTTTCAAACATACATGACGCTGACACGAAATACACCCAGACTCAGAACAAAAATTTGTGGATCACACTAAGTGCAGTCCCATGTGGGGATCAGCGCAGTAGTAGTAGTAGTAGTGACCGCTTAAACCACTACGCCATCCATGCAGTCATATATTCACAACGTCAGACCGCTACAAGCTCGTAAAGTTAGCACTATTGTAAACTGCACGTCCAGGAAAATACTTACACTCTACAGAATAATTCTAGCTAAAGAGAATTGATTAAATGGTATTGTGTTTCTGTTTGTTGGTCAATTACACGAGCTTTACAGACAGGTGTCTGGAGTCAGCGTATTATGGGCTGTGAGAGTTGCATACCAACTGGTAAGACTTTTCTTTTCTGTGCGAAATCTCCTCGGATACCACCAGTCGGTGGTTATGTTGGAATCGAGCCGACTAAAAACCATACGCCGTCTCGGATACCAGTAGCCGGGGAACCAGGTGTACCATAGAAAGGAAATCCCTGGTACCCCGAGGGTACCTCGGCTAATCTACGGCGAGTAGATGTCCCTCGCCTGTGTGAGAAGAGTGTCTCCGGCGAACGGATCGTCTGCGGTACCTATCCCGCTCCCGCTGCTCCTTCGCAAGCATAACTTGCTCGCAGAAGAAGACAGCGGAGTTCCACGCAATCTCGCTCCGCACCATGGCCGCAATCATGTTACCGAGCGAGAGAACTACCACCCGATGGCCGCCACGAGGTCACGCCTC